TCAGATAGGCAGGGCATCTCGTTGCCTGATAGGCAACACGTTTTGCCCGCAAAACCACGCGTGCCATCTGGGTCAGCACTTCCGAAATGTGCACGATGCAAACATAGGCTATATGGACATTGGACCTTTTCATGAATGACTTGATAAGAAGAAGAAGAAAAAAAAAACCCCAAAGTTCTGTTCCCTCTAAATCTGAATCCTGCCGCCCTCATGAATCCGCCCTGGAAAAAGACAACTGGCGAAGACGTCCTTTGCAAAAAAGTTCCGTTCCCTCTAAATCTGAATCCTGCTGCGCTCATGAATCCGCCCTGGAAAAAGACAACTGGCGAAGACGTCCTTTGCAAATGTGTGACGGAATCCTCGGTCTAACGTCCGATGTGTCTTTGTGCTCAGACCCAATGTCGAAGGCTGTGGTGCACCAGCCCAGAGGGCGCCCAGAGGGGCTGCAGGACGCAGCACATGCCGTGGGCCGACGGCACCGATTGCTCCCCGGGAAAGGTAAACGCCATCCGGCAACAACTCCATGACAGCGGGAGAAAGAAACATCCGTGCGTTCGCCATCCGAGCCGCTTCCCCTCGGGTGGCGGTCAAAGACCAGCGGAGCCTCCCGTTTGGCCTCTTGTTCCGAGAAAGCGATTCGTGTGTCCTTGTTTCTCTCGCTCTCACTTTGATGCTTCTTTCCTCCTGCCTGTTTCTTTTTCTTTTCCCGACTTGGGCCAAAACTGTTCCCCTTCTTCTCCTCATGCAGCACTGCAAGCACGGGCTGTGCATCGCCAAAGAGCACGACGCCGCACCCGTGGAGGGCGCCTGGGGAGTCTGGAGTCCTTTCGCGAGCTGTTCTCGGACGTGCGGCGGCGGCATCAAGATTGCGGAGCGCGAATGCAACCGGCCCGTGTGAGCGCTTCTCTTCCTAGTCACGCATGCCCGCCGGATCTCGTCTCCGTCTTAGAGGAGATGCCGAAAGTCAATGATCGAACGACACTCAGGGAATTCTCGCCCGACGCTTTCGCTGATGGCCAATTTTCAAAGGCGGCCTCCCGGGAAAGTGGCTTGACTCTTGCCTGCTGCTTTTGTTGAAGTTGTCGTGATTAAGAGGCGACTATTCAAAATTGACATTCGGTATTTGAATTTGAAGTTGGAGCAAGTTTCACCGACTCGACATCGTGAAGTTTGCCGTTTGCCTTTTTGTCAACTTTTTTTTTTCATTTATGTTGAACGTTCGAGTGTACGCAGCAAGTTTCACCGACTCGACATCATGAAGTTTGCCTTTTTGTCAACTTTTTTTTTCATTTATGTTGAACGTTCGAGTGTACGGTGCGTAAGCCTGACCCCGAACCAACGGGCCCTCAGTTCACCCTCAGGGGTTCGAGAGACGCTATTGGGTTTGTACTTGATGTGCCCCCACCAGGCCAAGGAATGGAGGCGCGTACTGCGTCGGTCGGCGGATGAAGTTCCGTTCCTGTAACTCGGAGCCGTGCTCCAAGCAGAAGAGGGACTTCAGGGAGGAGCAGTGCGCCGTTTTCGACGGCAGGCATTTCAACATCAACGGCCTACCTCCGAATGTTCGCTGGGTGCCCAAATACAGCGGCGGTGAGTCTTGCGCAATACCTCCCGGAACCCCGTCTTCATTTCGAAAGAACGATCTAAGACGGATCTGTCTCGCCTTTTGTTCCCGCGCGCAGTTCTGATGAAGGACAGATGTAAGCTGTTCTGCAGGGTTGCGGGCAGCACGGCCTACTATCAACTCAGGGACCGGGTCACCGACGGCACGCCGTGTGGACCCGACACCAACGACATCTGCGTCCAAGGCTTGTGCAGGGTGCGCCGCTCGCTCGACGCTTGCGCTTCGCAACATCATACAGTGAGCCGAGGAGGCCCAAGCCGCGTTGGGTTACGGGGCCCTCGACCGTGGGCTGGCACTGGTTTTGGCGAGTGCCGGTGGCCGGATCCCCTTTTGCCGGAGCGAGCCCGCACATCATTGTAGTCATGAAAAAAGCCACTTCCGCGTGGTTCAGCGTAGCATCTCCATTGGGCTGCTACGGGGCAAAGGTCGCCTGGACCAGGTGACATATGTCAAGGGCCACACGCTCGATGCCCATTCGATGACCTTGCCTGAGTCCAAATTTGCTCAGCTCAAATCCCAGAGACGAGACACTCATGGGCCACTAAGTCAAACCTCTCTCGCCCTTGCGATTGACTGGCGAGCAGTCCACGGAGTAGCCCGTCTCTCATCCGGAGTCGCCGGGGCTGCCCGTGTTCTCCTGCACAGGAGAAGGCATGTTAAAAAAAAAAAAAAAAAAAAAGCCTATTTTCTAACGTGCACATTTGTCCTTGTCTCTTGGTTCGATCACATCGCCGAACAGCAAGCTGGCTGCGACCACGTCTTAAACTCCAAAGCCAGGAGAGACAAGTGCGGCGTGTGCGGCGGTGACAACTCTTCTTGTAAGACTGTGGCAAACACTTTCAACGTCGTACGCTACGGTAAGCGGTCGCGCGTCTGCGGGCCTCCATTTGCGCACGTGTTTGCCGTAGCGCTAGCGCTTGGCGTCATATCGACTCCTTTTCCATTCACGCGCAGGATACAATGAAGTGGTGCGGATACCCAGCGGTGCTACAAACGTCGATGTTCGTCAACACAGCTACTCAGGGAAACCAGAGGATGACAACTACCTCGGTAAGAAAGACTCGTCTTTGCTCACAAAGGCGATGATGTGCTCCTGGCAAACAACTGGGGGCAATTTGACAACGGAGGTGTATGTATTCTTGCGGTTGCAGTTAGCGCAAGTGTCGCTCTCACGACTTTGCATTAGACTGTACTGGTGTACCGTGCGTCATGTTGGATTCAAATCCTGTTACAAAAAAGCAATCACTGCCGTTCTACGCCACTGCAGACTACAGCCACGGGAATCCGATTCTTTTTATTTTTTTCCCCCCAGGGCCGCATTTTATGTGCCGACATCTTGCGTGTTATAGCGCGAGATCAAGTGCAAAGGACTGGCAATGTGTGTGTGCTGTTAGAATGAGAATGGTTGTTGTTTTTTTTCATTTGCGCCGTCATGCGTGCTTTGTCTGCGATCGTCCAGCTTTGAGTGAAAATGTATCAAGGAGTAGGCCGTGTTCGCATCCGCACGGACGTGGCAATTTTCTGGGACGGATCTCGTTGGCGCGGGCGTGCTTCAAGCGGTGCTCAGAGGTCCCTCGGACTACAGCGCTGTCAAGACCGACATGATTTCCGTGCGCATCGGGTGTGCGGTGAATGGATGCTCTCTTGCCGTTGCTGACATGCGATAATTTGAAGAGCGCTTCCGTGCGCATCGGGGGTGCGGTGTATTGATGCGTCTTGCCGTTGCTGACATGCGATAATTTGAAGAGCGCGCACCTCCGCAAAATCTCCAAACAGTCCACACGGAGCTTCGGAGGCTATTTGATTGCAGTGAAATGGGATCGAAGGAAGGCTTTCCGAGTCATATCATATGCGGAATGGTTGGGAAATTAAAGGCGGGAACTCGGATCCACAATCACGTTAGGCTGTAGGCTGAGTGAGCGCGGCGACCGGACTGTTTGGAACAACGGGAGCGGACACGCACGCACGGTTGCGGTACTTCTCCGGGAATGCGGGACTTCAGCTATTTGTTGCTAGTTGTCAAGTAAGCTCCTGCTTGCGTTTAACTTTGACAGGACGATATTCGTCCTGCAGTTGTATACTTGCGGAGCTCGTTTGGAAGGCAGAGGGACGAAGCGCCGCGTGTGACCACTCTTCCCGTGTCCCCGCAGCCATATCAAACAGCCGCGGAGAGTTCCTGCTGAATGGAGAGTTTGTGGTCAGCATGTTCAAAAGAGAAATCAAAGTGGGAAGCGCTGTCATCGAGTACAGCGGCTCCGATCACGTTATCGAGAGGATTAACTGCACTGAGCGCCTTGAAGAGGAGATCGTCGTCCAGGTAAAGTCCATTCCTTTCTAGCGAGATACGTACCGCTCTCTATTTTCAACTGCAAAGTGCTTTCCCCAAACATTTGTCGTTTTGTGACCCGGTGAATTGAAACCTGCCGCAAGGGTTGAGCTCCGAATGGACGTCGTCAATGCGGCATTGAGTCTGTTTTGTCTTGACGCTAGGTGCTGTCCGTAGGGAACCTTTACAACCCGGATGTCAGGTACTCCTTCAACATCCCCATCGAGGACCGACCCCAGCAGTTTTTCTGGGATGCCTACGGTCCGTGGCAGGACTGCAGCCGCCTGTGCCAAGGTGGGCGCTCGCAGACGACTTTCTGTGGGCCGGCGTTTGAATGACCGCAGGAAATGATGTGGCGAGAGGAACGGAGGGGCAGCGTAAAGGCGCGGAAGAACAAGGCCGAGCGAAACTCAGATTAGGAGCGACGAGTTGGCTCATCCCCATAGAACGCGTGGTGCAGGGGGAGCTGCCAGGGAGAGTGGCAGCTGTCGACATGAAGTCAGATGTGAACGGGCAGACGAAAAATGACGTCAGGAAAGTCAGGACTCCACACTTCCAAAATGTTGATATGCGCTCACTGTAAAAACGGGTGAAACTTCATTTTGATGCCAGGGCGAGTCCCAGCCTAGCGTATTTGGGGCCGCGTTGCGCATTCCGGTGCACCGATTTGCCTGGCCCCTGACTCATCCGATGAGTCGGTAACAGAAAGTCGTCTGCGGTCAAACTGAGCTCGTCGTCATTTTGCTGCCGCGCAAATGGGCTGGTTCAGCGTGTTTGTGAATTTGGTAGATGCGCTCCGCCCCACTGGGTCTTCCTGCCAACCCAAAGCCGTCCGCAATGTTGTATGACACATGCACGGCTGGCTACGTCATCAGCAAGGGGAAAGCCTGCAGTTTATCTGCCAATGTCACGCACGGACCACCGTGAGTCGAATTTTGTTTCTGCAACATCGAGCACGATGTACCCGGGCACACTGCGCTCCAACTGCCCAGATTTTTATGCAAACGAGGGACGCCTCTACGATTGTCTGGGGAAAAGACTATTTCCGTCCCGCAATGGGCCGCAAAACGGCTCGAGCGTCCCGGTGTGCCCAATTCTACTGCCACAAAGTCTCGCAAAATACCGAAAGAAAGAAAACTCCACCCAGGCGCACAATTCGACCGCGCTTTGCGTCAGACTCGCGCTCGGAACGATAATCGGGCCGTCGATGTGAGTCAGTTGTCGGGATGCGCGGCGTCCATCCAGCTGACCGACTGCTGCCATCTTCCCAGGAGAGAAGAAGAGAAAGGTTCTCTGTAGCAGAGAGTCCGACCGGGTGGTGGTGTCGGACCAGAGGTGTCACGGTATACCGAGACCTGCGCTGATCCCTGAGGCCTGCAACACAGACTGTGAACTGAGGTCGGTGTGATCGGTTTACCCCATTTTCGGTCGTCCGCGTCACGATTCACATGTTGATTACGAGTGGTGCTAACTCTTGTCGTCTGTGCGAATGAAGGTGGCATGTGGCTCGAAAGAGTGAATGCACAGCTCAGTGCGGTGTTGGATTTCGCACCCTGGACATATTCTGTTCCAAAATGAGCCTCACTGATGGAAAGATCCAAAAGGTTGATGATCGCTATTGCAGTGGGCAGCGCAAACCCGAGGACAAGGAAGTTTGTCACGGAGATTGTAATCCTGGAGGCTGGGAGTACTCGTCCTGGTCAGAGGTGAAACTGAGAAGGTGGTCGAAAGTCCAATTGAATCCGAAATTTGGTTTCACGTTTCCTCTCGTCGATCTGTCTGTCGCGCAGTGCTCAAAGAGTTGCGGGGGGGGCCCCCGCCGAAGAGGAGCGGTGTGTCGAAAGGCGGCCGAGGCCGAGGGCGATGACAGCAAGTGCAGTCATCGGGACAAGTTGGCCGTCCAACCCTGCAATGAGTTCCTCTGTCCTCAATGGAAGACTGGAGACTGGTCGGAGGTTCGTTCGATAGTTAGCGACACGATGGCACTTGCGGGTTTTCGGGGCCTGTGGTCACGGGGCGTCAGGGGACCGTGTGGGCAAGAAAAGGAATGAATCGCTTTGAGCTTCACCGCTTCAATTTTGGAAACTGTTTTCAAAGAACCCCTGTCAGTCATGGGCACTGAGGATCGTCGTCATCGTTTTTGTTCCGTGCCCATTTCGAGGGTTAACTCGAGATCAAGGCTGGAAGTCAGCACAGAAACTTGGATGACGGTCACACGAGATTTATCCATACATGCGAGCTTGGGAAGTTTGGAGTCGAGGCTGTATTTCGCGGTAAAAAGTCATTTGGCTGCAATCAGCTCACGCAACGGCCAATCGTGTTCACATCACGGTCTCCAATAAGGTGATGACATCGTGAGCCTTTCCAGGAGAGTGACCTTATATTCCGAAGACCGGGTTTCAATGAAGTAGGCTGATCTGAGGGATTTGCCATTGGAAAGATCCTAGTCCTTCACTGCCCGCTGCACACGTTACACATTGTGCACCAAGAAGCTTGAAAAGCTGTGCTTGACGTTGCAGAAATATTTGTCAACTCCCACGCGGGTGCCCTCCAAATCCAACCAACGACAGGGTACTACGCGTACGCCTCTCCCGACACGCTATTTGTACATGCGCGTATTATTTGTCCAGAGGAAAAAGCGCACTTGCTTTCAATGTCAACACCGTCAAGTGGATGTTCTCGTGAGCTGAATGACTGACATCATCTTGCACGTATTCAGCATGTGGCGCCTCTAATCATCAAGGGATCTCGCTTGCAGTGCCTGGTAACGTGCGGCAAAGGCTACAAGCACCGGCCCACTTGGTGTCAGTTTGGTGAGGACCGTCTAGATGACCGCTTCTGCGGGTCAACGAAGCCCGAGTCAGTGCAGACGTGTCAGCAGCAGGAATGCGCCGCCTGGCAGGTCGGACCTTGGGGACAGGTAAGGCCCGCTGAAGATTCTCCTTTTCGTCACGCAGAACAGATGAGCACAAAGCAAATTGTTTGACCCCATTTCCCCCTCGAGGTATATTTGAAGCTGTTTAATGAAGCACGGTCAAATGGTTGCCGAAGTTCTCTGCCAAACAAGTTTGAGCCTTTTTGCTTGAGGCCAGCGAGGCGGAAGAGAGTGGCGAGAGAGAGCCGCCGAGTCGCTTACTGTCGTCAGTTCAATGTTTCTGAAGCAGGCTTTTCAGGTGTTGTTTCCCTGAGATTCGTGTCTTCCTGCCTTTCACTTCAGATTGCCTTTCATGGAAGTCATCACGTTGTCTTTCCCGATGCTGACTTCTTGTTTTCAACCGCTGCGGTCGGCTCCGATGTCTTCCGCTTGCCTTTCTTTTGCTTTCCTCCACTCTCACGCTTTTTCCCTTTCGTCTTTTGAACCCAGTGCACGACCTCGTGTGGGCTCGGGTACCAGATGCGAGCTGTCAAGTGTGTGGTCGGATCTTATGGCGCGGTCATGGAAGACACCGAATGTAATGCTGCCACCCGGCCCACTGACACCCAGGTAAGGGCGGGGAAGTCTTTTGACCTCCTTTTCGTCACGTTTGTCGACTGATTCAAAGCCACGGATACATCGTGCGTGCAATGTCCCCTCGTATGACGGCCGCTTAAAAATGTCGACACCCGTCCCTGCAATGCTCGTTTTCAATGAAAAAGAGTTGGACATAAAACGTTCTTCCGTCACGATACACGAGGCAATAATGAGTTGCACTTGTGACACTCTGGTCGGAATCAACGCGGTCTCCCGTAAATTCCGAAGATGTCTTTTGTTACAATCACAAACGGGCACAGAGCAAGGGGACGCGACGAAGCGACTCTACTCAGTGTTGCAACAAATGGAGTCCCCGCGTCGACGCCTCATTCCAACATTTGAGTGTGCCGGTTATCGGCTCCAACAGAACACGTCCATGTCGTTCGGTCACTGGACCGCAGCCGTCGATGGCAGACCCGCGGCCGGCCTGTCGGCCAAGTGTCGGCCTGGAAAACTTTCGGACCAATTGACTTTTCAATGAACAAAATTTGCCCGATGCCTCACTCGCCGACAACAAATGTCCCCGTGACTTCTCCTTGAGTCATCTATCACCTCACCGCGGTTGTGGGGTTTGTGTGGCCCACTGATTGTAGGAGCTAAGTTATCACCAGCCTTTATTGCCACCCCGGGGCAAGTTACAAGTGCACGGTCCCATGCACAGTCGTCATGATTTCAAGGTTCAACGTGGGGGACCAGACAAAGCGCAGCTTCAAACCACCTCGAATTGAAGGCAAGATTTGGCCGGGCCCTGACTATTGGTTGCGCCGAGGCACCAAACGGCAGCTCCGAGTACTCATCCTTTGTGAAGTCCTTGCAGAGAACACTGCTGCTGGAGTGAGAACTGGAAGCCCCTGATTAGGAGGAAGCCCCTCCCCCACCCTCCCACCTCCGCTGTAACCCAAGTGTTTTCTGACCGTTTCTCCGTGTCCGCTCACCGCGTGCCTGCGGCCGCTTTGGATGCGGCGGTGAGAGTGGAATGCCAAGCCTGCGAGATTTGACTAAGGCTCTCATTCGGAAAGACTGGGGTCAGAGGGCACGGCGGGGCACGGGAGGGGAAAAGGGAAAAGGGCGGAAGGTTAGGGGGACGAGGGGGCGGACAAAGGGTGGAGCTTTGAAGCACGCCAGCGTGGGCATTGGCCCCCTGAATACCACTCCACTCTGACCTGTTATGACAGGGATCAGGGCTTTATGCTGAGTGGCTTACTGCCACAATCCATAGTTTGAACTGATCGGGAGATGCGGCTCACGTTGTTTTGCTAAGCGAGCGCGGGCCGATGGGAAAACGTCGCCGCTCTCAAACAGCGGCATACCGACCGCCGTGAGTTCGTCGCGAGCGTTTCATCTCCGAACATCGGCCCGCTTCACGACAGCGCGCGCGTATGCTTGTCGTTCCGCAGGACTGCGAAGTGGCCCAGTGTCCAGCCGGCCAGATCGTCCCCCACGGGACCAAAGTCCCGTCCCATCAAGGCCACAAAACCCAGTGGCGCTTTGGTTCGTGGACCCAGGTTGGTGATCACGAGCATTCCATTGGGTCCTTGCATTTTTTCCTCCACCGCCTTCTCCTCTTTCCAATAGTGCAGCGCGACCTGCGGCAAAGGGACCCGCATGCGTTATGTCAGTTGTCGCGACAATCACGGCGGCGTGGCAGATGAGTCGGCGTGCGCCGGCCTCCCCAAACCTCCCGCCAGAGAGGCCTGCTCCGTTGCTGCGTGCGGACAGTGGAAAGTGTTGGAGTGGACCGTGGTAAGAAAAAAAACACGATGACGCCTCCTTCCTCCAACACGCAATCAATCGGAGAACATTTCGGGACACTTTTTTGTCTCTGTGAATGCGCCGCGTGTTTCTTTGCATGTCGGTCGTTAATTGCAATTCCTGATGCCGTGCCGTTGTTAGTGCTCAGTCAGCTGCGGTCAGGGGAAGACGACGCGCCGAGTGCTCTGCGTCAACTTCGGCGACCAAGAAGTGAACGCCGGCGAGTGCGACCCGGACGAGCGGCCGAGCGCCGAGCAGGACTGCGCCGCCTCGCCATGCCCGTCCCACTCCGGCGATTCCAGACTGCTTCCATCCTCGCCAAACGGCGGCGTTCGCAACGTCATTCCTCAAAGCCAATCCCAGCAATGGCGGACGGGTCCCTGGGGCGCGGTGAGCCAAACGTTCGCAAGAATGCCGAGCCAGACCAGAAAAGCGTTGCCGAGCGCGCGCTCAGGCCACGTGATTAGTCCCAGGGGGAGGGGGGTGCCGGCTTGACAAAAGGGTTTGAGCGCACGTGCTCAAGGAGGCGTGCTCGGTGACCACGCCGACTGTTTATCCAAAACGTTTTTGGCCGTTGGAGACTTTGTCTGACCCGGAAGTCAAAAAACGGGCTGTCATCGTCAATTGGCTCATGCATCGTCAGCGTAGGTTCGAGAGCCAGACAAATTGCGGCCACCCGAAGAACCGAATGAATGGTGAGCCGCTTTGAATAGCACGTTGCGATTGCTTTGAGGAGAGCTTCGATATGCGACCGTACTTGCGCTCTCCTCCCCATTCCTGTAACGTGCCATTTCTTGGACGTCTTTTTCTTCTTGTCATTTCCACGCAAATTTGGGTGCAATGCGAACATGCGCTACGCATCGTCCACTTCATTTTTGACTTGATTCATTGGATAACAAAGTTTCAGTGGATTTCTTAACGATCCGACAAAATGGAAACGTGTCATCAGACGTTCTCCTGTGGCAACGAGAGAAAAAAAAAAAACTCCCTTCACTTTGAAAACACACGATGACAATCGAGACCTGAGCATGTCTTTACTGCTCTGTGAGCCTGCTTACTTCAGGACCTTCCAGTAGATTCTTCTTTTTCGAAAAAGAAAAGCCACAACAAAGTAAGGAAAAAAAGAAAGTGGCCTTTGATGATCTCTGAATTGAGGCTGAGGTCTCGCTGAAATTTTGGGTGACTTTTGGAGACACGACTGGGACTCGTATCACTTGAGAGATTTTGACCTCAAAGCAAAACATTGCGTCGCTTTTCCAGCACGGTGACGTCTCTGCCTGGATGTGGCGCAAAATGTGTGATAAGCCGTTTGACGGCGGGGGGGCTCTCTCTCTCTCTCTCTCTCTCTCTCTCTCTCTCTCTCTCTCTCTCGCCTTGATCTCTCGAACACCGGCGATAACAGGGCCGTATTTGTTTTGTGCCGGCTTGACAAAAGGGTTTGAGCGCACGTGCTCAAGGAGGCGTGCTCGGTGACCACGCCGACTGTTTATCCAAAACGTTTTTGGCCGTTGGAGACTTTGTCTGACCCGGAAGTCAAAAAACGGGCTGTCATCGTCAATTGGCTCATGCGTCGTCAGCGTAGGTTCGAGAGCCAGACAAATTGCGGCCACCCGAAGAACCGAATGAATGGTGAGCCGCTTTGAATAGCACGTTGCGATTGCTTTGAGGAGAGCTTCGATATGCGACCGTACTTGCGCTCTCCTCCCCATTCCTGTAACGTGCCATTTCTTGGACGTCTTTTTCTTCTTGTCATTTCCACGCAAATTTGGGTGCAATGCGAACATGCGCTACGCATCGTCCACTTCATTTTTGACTTGATTCATTGGATAACAAAGTTTCAGTGGATTTCTTAACGATCCGACAAAATGGAAACGTGTCATCAGACGTTCTCCTGTGGCAACGAGAGAAAAAAAAAAACTCCCTTCACTTTGAAAACACACGATGACAATCGAGACCTGAGCATGTCTTTACTGCTCTGTGAGCCTGCTTACTTCAGGACCTTCCAGTAGATTCTTCTTTTTCGAAAAAGAAAAGCCACAACAAAGTAAGGAAAAAAAGAAAGTGGCCTTTGATGATCTCTGAATTGAGGCTGAGGTCTCGCTGAAATTTTGGGTGACTTTTGGAGACACGACTGGGACTCGTATCACTTGAGAGATTTTGACCTCAAAGCAAAACATTGCGTCGCTTTTCCAGCACGGTGACGTCTCTGCCTGGATGTGGCGCAAAATGTGTGAGAAGCCGTTTGACGGCGGGTGACCTCTCTCTCTCTCTCTCTCTCTCTCTCTCTCTCTCTCTCTCTCTCTCTCTCTCTCTCTCTCGCTCTCTCTCTGCGTCTTTGACACCGCAGTGCTCCAGCACGTGCGCGGGAGGCTTTCAGCGGCGGGTGGTAGTGTGCCAGGACGAGAACGGCTACCCCGCCAACAGCTGCGAGGATCACAGCCGGCCCAGTGAGCAGCGATCCTGCGAGTCGGGCCCATGTCCGCAGTGGATCCATGGCAGCTGGGGAGAGGTAAGGCAGACAGACGCAGCTTTACTGGTGTTAAAGGGGCCCAGTGGGAAAACCAAACTTTGGCCACGCTTATGTTTGGATAATTACTTGGACTGTTTGCGAAGGTTGCATGAGAAAAAGGACATCCGAAAATACCTGAAGCTCAACGTCGCATTCTTTGTGATTCCCACGGGACGGCGTGCCGCTTTGGCTTTTGCTTTGTTTTTTCGAAACGGCTTTTTTGACGCGCCGTCTCCCGGCTCCGCCCTCAGTGCACCAAACCGTGCGGAGGCGGCATCAAGACCAGACTGGTGGTATGTCAACGTCCCAACGGCGAGCGTTTCAACGATCTGAGCTGCGAGATCCACGACAAGCCGCCGGACCGGGAGCGCTGCAACACTCGGCCGTGCCCATCTAGCCCCCGCTGGAGCGCCGACCCGTGGGGCTCGCTACGCTCATGATCGTTATGATACTCCACACCTTGCTTGTTTTTTTGTTTTCGTTTTGTTTTGTTTGTTTGTTTTCAAACCGGCCGTGACACTCTGTCACAGGCGGTCTTTTGCAGCGGGGAAAAGAAAGCGTACGCTCCTCAGACGTGAACTCCCCGCCGCCGTTTTCTCGAGACATTTGGAAAATCCATTTCTGTCCTGTCCCGCAGTTTGCCGGAGACAGTCGATCCCAACAGAGCGCTTCCGTGACAGCTGTGGCCAGAAGAGCCTTCTTTTCTCTCGTGACTGTCAACCAGGAGTCGGGCTGAAAAACATCAGGATCCAAATCTTGTTTGCGATACATAATTTATTGAGATTTTTTAATTTCTTTCCGTGTTTATCATTTGTACGTAGCACAAAGTTGAAAAGCGATTTCTTTTGTCTTTGCTCTTTGTATCGGAACGTCGGCAATTGTTCATGTGCAAATACCGAGCGAGGTTGTTGCGTATCGCGACCGCACGGCGCGATGCGAGCCACGCTGGTTTCTTCTCCAAAGACCGAGAGAAACGGCCCCTCGTCTGGACGCGCGGCGCCTCATCTGACATTCGGAGGGCCCGATTCGCGTCTCAGACGGAACTTCATTGGTGCTGTGTGCCAGAAGGACTTTTTGCTTCAGTACTGCAAATGCCAAACCGAATGATGGAGTTTGTCTGAAGGCCCGCGTGCTTCGGTGTAGAACGAATGGGCGAATGTGGACGCTCGATTTGACAGTCGCGGACTGACTTTTCTCCTGCCGTTGTCGTCAGCAGCGTTGCGGCCATCTGCTCTTGCACGTCTGTAAGGCGGCGCGAGCGAGAGCAGTGGCACCGGCGCCGTGAAACAAATGGCGTCTGGTTGGGCCCTTTTTGTGCTTCCGAGTGCGCGCGGCTATTCGCGACGCCGTGATCCGTGCTTCCGCGACCAAAAGGTGGAGCTTCTTTCTCAAACTCCACGCTCTGCTTCAAAGGTGCTCCGAGTGTCTCCGTGCCAGTTTGTGCTTTTTGTACACTGCTCCCAACAATACCTCACCTGGAAACCAGCACAAACTCATCTTGCCGTTTTAAAGTCCGATCGCTAACCCGCAATGGTGCTCTGAGCAAACACGGGAGATTTCAGATCTGAGATCTGAAACAAACATTTGCAACGTTTCCAACGGGTAGCTGTTTTTTTTTTGGGGGGGGGGGGTTAGTGAGCACATTTTGTCACGTAAATGTGATGAATTGAGTGTCAAAGAGGTGCAAAGTGTGTCACTCATCATGTTGACGTGTCTTTGAATGTCACTCAAACAAGGGCCTGTCGGAAGGCGCCCTTCTCTTGTTTTGTACGCCGAGCTCGTAACTGTTGAGCCAAGCGAGTGTGCCTACCTCAGTCTCCTCCGCTGCCGCCTCACCTTTGTCTCCTTTGCCCGGCAGGGGGCTTTGTTTGGCAGCCTGACCAGTGCAGCTGATGGCCTCCGACGCAAAATGTTCGTTTGGGTCATTTCCCACGTTTTGGCCCGTGGCGGCCGGTGAGAGGCGATCGCCTCGGTGCTTTTGCCTGCGGCCCACCCGGTTGCCCGCTCCCGTTCACAAATGTCCCACGGGAGCGCCAGGCCTCCCTTTCAGGGCCCGTTAACGCGGCGGCGGCGGCTCCATTTCCCACGTGCTCAGCTGCCAATGAGCCATTCGCCGCAGGTCCAACGCAATATGAGCGCGCGTCGCCGAAATACGTCTGCCGGATCCAATCGACTTTTGACTCTTGCGCTGCAGAAACGAGCGCCCGCTTTGTCTCTTCGCCACAAACGGCGAGATTAGTCTTTTTGTTGTTGTTGCTGCCGTCGTCTTCTTTGCCGAGAAGCGTTTCCTGTATATTTAAGTCATGACATGTATTTATTGTCACTTCATTAAAACGCTGTGTAAATATGGACTTTTTTTGGAATGGATTTGTTCCATTTCTGTTCACTTCCCCCGAATTTGACAATGAAAGCGAAGTCGGGCTCACGTTTGAGGCTTCTTGTTCTTGTCCATTCACGCGGACGCAAGTGGCAGGTCAGAAGTCACATGACATGCGAGCGGAGGTGTGCACCGTTTCACGTCTGGCTTCGGACAGAAGCTTTGCCGCTCAAATAGCCGGCCGGCTCTCCCCTCGCCGTCGACTGAATGGCGTGAATGTTTTTCCTGAATGAATACGCACAACCCACTGAGCAATGTCGCTGTTATTTTAGGCGCCCGGTCGGGGCCTCCGCTGACCCCTCCGAGCCATCCCGTATTTGGCCGTATGCTGCCGCCGCTGCCGCGGCGCCGTTCAAAGCTCTTCCCGTCAAGGTAAATATTTACTGTGCTGCGAATGCCCATTTTCTGGATGCTTGGCAATGTGGGCTGCGCTAGCAGGCCGCTGCTGTCCTTTTCTGCTCTCCGTCGCCCCCCCCCCCCCCCCCTACTCTCATGCCGCTTGATGACAATGTTCAAATGTGTTGGCCGGTGGGAACGACGAGAACGGAGCGGCCCGTCAGCGAGACAATGCCGTGCCGTATTGGCAGGGTCGGGGATCACGTTTGATCTCGAGGGGTGGTGATAGGGGGGGCTTCCCTGTCCTCCCCATCAGCGTAGATTGGAGGGGGGGCATGCGCCCCCGCCCTTCAAGATCTGGCTCCATTCAAACTAGGCAGAGGCTTCGAGCACGTGAAGAGGGTTTGCATTCAAGGAGGAACTGCGCGCTTTTCAAAATGAGCCTGCTGCGATCCGGTTTGCCTGTCGTGAGTCGGTGCGGGTCGCCCCCGAGAAGCTCATAATGCCTGCACGGGGCCGCTCGTTTACTGTTGCCGCACGTGATGTTTCAATTTGGCCCGGTGTTTGTGAGAGCATCTCAGTCCAGCGCGACGGCGAGAAAGGAGAGAAAACATAAGCGAGGACCCAGATTGGAAAAACATTCCACTTTGAGCGGCGACATCTGAAATAGCCATCATGTGCATTGGCCGGTCGTCTTCAACGAAGAAGAAAATATCGCTCGGCCTCCTTTTCTGACTCGACGCGCGGGTCCACATGGGACCGAAATGGTCGCCTTCGCCTCTGGCCATATTTGTACTTTTCGTGTCGCAAAAGAGTTCGTTCTCAGGAGCAAGAGCGAACAACCTTTCCTATGAGATCGATGGCTCAACGCATGGGGCGGGTCAACCTTCCCGAAAATTCGATCAGCCCTTCCGTTGCCGAATGAAGTCCGACTGGGTCAAAAGGTCACATGCCGGCGTCCCTGCCCGGCGCATGATGTGGCCGCGCGAGACGGCTGCAGTTCATGCTGAGCCGCGTACCCGTTCAACTCGGAGCCTGTCGCTTCCCATCCATCCCCCCGATCCTCTCCCGCGGCCCCCGGGATGAGCCGAGCCCCGTCCGGCCCCTTTCCGCACCCAACTTCTCAGCCCTCCCCCTGCACGCCGCGCGCAGGCGCACCAGTGTCTGCCTGTCACAACAAATTAGGCTTTGGGTGACTCGGTCGACATGGAAGTGAACGAAAGTTCCGCCGGGGTGATCCGTCCTAAAATCACGCAGGGATCCCTGACGCTGACGATAGACGTCGATTCCAAACATGACCTCCCCCCCAACTCTCTTTTCTCCATTTCTCTCGCAGCGCTCAGCCTGTCGCGTTGCAAACGCTGCGCCTCTTTGACCAGCTCGAGCCTCCGCCTTGAGGAGGGCAAGTGGCAGCTCATGCGCCCAAAAACTTTGGGGCGGGGGGCGGGCGAGCGGGGATGCTCCCGACGGTCGTCCCAAGTGGAAGACTCGTGTCGGCCTCCTTCACAAAACGCTCCCAAGTCGAAAGGAAATCGCGTCCGGGGCCATGAAGGTGGCCCATCTGTGTCCTGCGAATGGCCGACGAGCGGTCCGGGATAACGTTCGCCGGCACGGGCTTGGGCTCGCCCGTTCCCTCGCCGAGGACGAGCCGGGCGGCAAAGGGGTCGGTACGCATGTCGGCCTCCTCAGGCGGCCACCAAACTATTTGAAACGGCTCTCGGTCTGATACGGCGCCGTTCTGCACCGACGCAGACCACGTGTACATTTAGCCCCAAAAAGGATTGATCGGTTTGACCTTGGCCACACTTTCATCGTCCCTGGGACACCTCCACGAAAGGCAGCCATCTCGCGACCTCTGCGTCCCTCGTCCTCGACACATAATTTTCCCGCCAGACGCACAGTTGCAAATAATGTGCGTTTTTGGCACACAAGGAAATTTCTCAGTCAAAAAAACAAACAAAAAAAAAACGACGGTTAATGTTTTTTTTCCAGCAACAGTCGCAGTTTGACAGTCGCCGCCATTGTTGTTTTGATCTAGTGTCAAGTCGCGTGACGAAATTTCCGTTCTCGCGAGACGAGATTGGCGAGATCGGCCTTCACCGAGCGGAAAGCAGACGATTGCCAAGTTGTGTCACGTTAAGTAAAGTGTTGCGATCAAGTAGTGAGAAACGTTTACTGCGGAGATATCACCGAGGAAGCAGGTAAAGTTGGATAGTTTTTTGCGATAATAATCTTGTATGCCTGAATTTTTAACATTTTTGCAGCGTTTGTTTATAAGATATAAACCTATTATCAATGTATATTGTTGTTGTTTGTGTTATTATCATATGCAATTGAATAAGCAGACCATTTCAGATTTCGAAATTTGGGACTCTCTAAATGCGTCATGGGACTAATAGTTTTCTGATCAGCGAGTCCCGCAGGACTCGCAGGGATCAAACTGGAAAATTAGCACTGCAAAGGACCTCACACGACGGTACTTGAGACTGTTTCTTTTCGCTCCTTTGAAGAGAAAAGCGTCGGTTCCCCCAGGTCAGGACCGACTTCAAGTATCAAGTACAACTTTATTGTCAAATGTACACACAGCACAGATGATCAAGTTCGAGAAGACCGATGCCCTTCTTTGCCACCACCACGTCTCTTTTTCAACCGCTCGCGTGTGCGCGTCGTCTTTTTTGCCAATTTCCCCCACTGGCCAGAAGGCTTTCGAGCACAGGAACACATCTGTACCTCAGACATCAGAAAGGATGTGCGTCTTTGCGCTGCAGCCGCAGGGCAGGAATGAGGCCGGGAGGAAATGATATTCCCCACCCCACCGGCCTGATAAGACATGCAGGTTGCATTTGCTTCCATCGCGCGGGTTACATACGACTGAAATGTATGATTGGAATTGCTAGTCTCCAAATAGTTTTTTTGTTATTCAGAGTTCTGAACAGCATCTGTTGAGAAAAAACAACAAAAAGGTGATTGAACGCGTAAACCAGAAGAAGCGAGGCAAAACAAATCCTTGTGTCCAATGAATGTCTGCGCTCACTACTGAAAATAAATTCAATGAGGAAGACAGGGCAGTGGACGTCGTAGTGCTGGTGAGCGGCCGACACTGGCAATGCCATGCCGCGTTGCGGCACGAGTACCGGTTGCCGTTCTTTCTTCATTCGGCAGCCACCCCGGCGGCTCCTTCTTCGCTTGGTCAGTCGATTTTCTTTTCAAAAACCACCCTCGCCCG